GAGTGCCGAGCGAGTAGAGTTGGAGACGGGCCGTGCCAACAGGGAGCGATTCCTGGACTCGTGCACCAGCGTTGGGCGAGTTGATCGAGGCGAACGTGTTGCCGCTGGCAGACGCAAAGAGCTCTTCGACCTTTCGCGGAGGAGTCCAGTCCGAGGAGGCCGTGGAGCTCATGGGGTGCTGACGGCGAATGGAGAAGAGAGGTCGGCGGCGGCAGGAGGCGCGACAGACATTCTATCCAACCCATCAAGACACGATGGCGTGAAAGAATACGGCTGTGTCCCCCAAGATCACCCACAACCTCCGAATTCCATGGAGTTCACGTTGGAGGGGCGACAACGACATGGCGCCGTCTGGTGCTCGCGATGGATTCTCGTACTAGTTTATGTGTTGCCGTTAAACTTGCGCCACCATCTGCGCATATTGCAGCGTGTGGATGGTGTTGGCGACATGCGCGGCAGACGGAGAGACGGATGCAATCATGACGGTGCGCGACCCCCCGTGCGACCGCAAGTGGTCGCGCAGGGCCAGCGTGAGCTTGGACTCGCGGTAGCAACTCAAGCTCTGATGACCCAACGCCTGTGCCCGGAAGCACGCGCGCAGGGCACTGAGCGACTTGTTGATCTCCCGGCACTCGTGCTGCTCGTCGTCCGTCTTCTGGATGCCGTCTGTGATGCGGCCGGCGTGCTCGGACCCGGCCAAGTCGACAAACACGAGGTGACCGCCCACCGCCGACAACCCCGGCGCCGCAGCCACGGCCGCCTGGGCCACCGCAATCTCCTTCTCCAAACGCACGTATCGTCTGCGGAACTCGATCATTTGCGCACACTCCTCCGGCGTGCTGGCGAGCGCGTCCGCCTTCTTGACCCACTTGCCTTCAAACTTGTCGTGCTGACGGACAAAAATGTTCATGTCGAGCGAGTCGCGCTCGTACCCGCACCGACCGAGCTCGGCCTCCTTGTGCGCCACCACGTCCCGGAGGCCCACGACGCGATCGCTGACCACCTCCATCTGCAGGATCGCATGCGACCGGCTGCTGGCACGGTGGACGTTCGAGTTGCCCGTCGCCCGGTTCTGTGTCCCGCGCTGGACGATAGCGAGCAGGTCGTCCTCGGTGCGGGCCAAGTGGCTGGACGAGAACGCGGTTGTGACGAGGCCCGTGGCGTGGTCCAGCGTCGTGTCGCTGCGGATCTGCACTTTGCCGTAGCTGTCTTCTCGCACAAAACACTTGGCGCAACCGTTGAGGAGGTCGTACACGTCGCCGTTGTACACTTGGCTGAATCGCACTAGGAGCATCAATTTGTCCTGCGCATCCTCGACGGTCTCGTTGAGCGCGTCGATCGCGGCAAAGAGCCTCGTTCCGGCCAAGTGGTACATGCCTCGCTCCTTGTCGCCGTCGCCGAGAATGGTGTGGGTTTTGCCCGACCCGGTGTGGCCGTACGCAAAGCAGCACCCCGTGCGGCCCGCGAGCGCTTCGTCCAGGAGCGGCGCGACGGCGACGTCAAAGAACGCGGCGTTGGACACGTCGTCTTGGACACTCGTGAAGTGGGTGAACGCTTTCTCTCGCTTCGGTTTGGACTTGGGGACTTTGAATCCGCCCAGCACTTCGACAAACTCGACGTCGTCGTTGTCCGTTTTCGGCATCGCGAACGCCAACGTCGACGTCCCCGACCGAGACACCGTCGCGTCAAACGCAAGTTGGGCGTCCTGGCTCTCGCTCTCGATCAGGGGCCGAATGCGGACGTGGACATCGATTCGAGAGATTTTTCGAGGCGTTTTGGAGACGGGGACAAGAACGAAAGGGGCGAGTTGCCATCGTTTGGGATTGGGTGTGGGCATGTTGAGGAGCGTTCAAATGTGACGTGGGTGCGGCAGCGATGCCCGTCGGCACAATCTCCCCCATGCCCCTTCGTAGTTTGACGTGGATGGAGGATATGAGTGAAGGTCTTCTCTCCAGCAAAATTCCGTCTCGCGAGTACAAGCTCGTCGTTCCGTCTCGCTTGGAAAACCACACAAATTCGCCCACAATCTATAACTGAATTTTTGCGTTGTCGATGAGGTTCTAATGCCATTGCGCAGGGTCACGTTGCAGGGCTTCGATCGTACCCACACTTGACTTGTACGCGGTGTGCTAGGACCTCCCTTAGAAGATTGGGTGCACTGTGTCGAAGGACTGTACTTCTTCAACGGAAGGAATGATGGCCTTGTACTACAAACGCGGACCCGTGTACGGGACAACTCCCACTCTTCAACAGTGGGAGGTGGCCGACAATCAAACGGCGCATGGCCAGGCGACACAGCCCATTTGCCAAAATGACAACCACCAAGCAGACCAAGACACCCGTCGCCGTCCACGTCCGCATTCGGCCCCTGATCGAGAGCGA